CCAGCAGTTTTGTTTTGTGACCAAGACAACGAGTTTTGAATTTTGCCAACTAATTTGAGTCAGGTTCTTAGAGACCAAAAACCAATTAAATTTGCATCTCATGGTTTTAACAACATAGGACCAATCCTATTGTAAGAAATTGATATGTCATCATGGGTATAAAAGAAGGGGTAGTTGGGCATCTGGAGAGAGCTAACTGCCATCTGGGGAGAGTTAACTGCCATCGGCTAGAGTAAACAGGATTTGAACAGATCTGAGCGGATTTGAACGAATCTGAATGGATCTGAACTGATTGGAATGGATCTGAACAGATTTGGACAGATTTGAACAGGTTTGAGGTACAAAAGGTCCAAGCAGATTTAAACAGACTTAGGGATTAGTGTCCTACATCTTCAAATAAAACTTAAGTGAGAAGTGGAAAATGTGTTTAATTTCAGTTGCTTGTTGTTGGTTAAGTCAAAAGTGGGGAAATAGCTCTTAACATTACGAAAGAGTTTTTGGGAGTCGAAGATGCTTGCCAAATTTGCCAAGAAAGTTCAGAAAGACAGACAAAGGAGTCAGTTTTAGTATTAGTAGACAGGCTAGAACTGGGTTTAACTACAGATAAGAGGAAAGCTGAAATTGTAACGGAGTAAGTCAAGCATTTTGGTACACCAGAGAAACCGTCAAGTGTAGTGGAGTTAGAAAAAATTAAATTGTAAATAAGACAACTGGCGTTAGAAAGTGAACTTAAAAGGTGGGAGTTAGAGGACAATTAGAAAGAAAGGGAAAGAAGAGCCAGGACAGAAGAGAAAGAAAGAAAAAGAAGAACTATGTTAGAAGATAAAGAAAGGGCAAGGAGGTTCTTAGCTGAGTAAAAAGAAAAAGAGAAAGAGATGGAACTTCAGAATTTGACAGTTAGACAGGAAAGTCAATTTAAAAGGATGTAGATAAAGGTAGAAAGTAGGCTTGGTGAGGAGGAGAGTGATGATGAGCAACCTCATCATAGCCAAATGCTTGGTAGGGATATATACAAATATGCCAAAACCTTACCAAAATTTGATGAAAAAGTTGTAGAAGCCTTTTTCATTTCCTTTAAGAAATTGGCTAAACAGATGAACTAGCCAGAGTTTATGTGGGTAATGTTAATTCAGAACAAGTTGGTAGGCAGAGCTAGTGAGGTGTTTGCAGCCCTGTCAGAGGTGTGTCGGGAAACTATGAAGAAGTAAAACAGGCTATTTTGAGTGCCTACAAATTGGTACCAGAAGCATATAGACAATGATTCTGAAATATAAGAAAGGAACCAGGTCAGACGTATATCGAGTTTGAAAGAATTAAACAGAGCAATTTCGATAGATGGAAGAGAGCATTAAAGATAGAAAAGGCCTATGAGGATGTTTGGAGATGTTAGTCTGCTGGATGAGTTTAAAATCTCACTTCCAGAAGTGATAAGAACTCATGTTGAGGAACAGAAAGTTAAAACAGTGTGAAGAGCTGCAGAGATGGTGGATAAATATGCATTAGTACATAAATTGAAATCTAGCTTCTGACAATAATTTCATTCCCTGAGGGATAGAATTTGGGAAAGAGAGAGATCCTTCGATGAAAAACAAAAAGTAGATCACATTGGAACAGTTTAACACATGTGAAAAAAGAAGCCAAGAGGTGCAAAAGAGGTGAAAGACCTCTGGTGTTTTCACTGCAATAATGTGGGACGTACAAAGTGACAGTGCTGGTGGTCTAAGAAAGGCACTGAGAGAAAAGATGTGGTAAAAGAGGCTAAACCAGTGAGATTAGTTGAAGTAGTGAAGGAAATCCCAAGAGAAGTCGAGGAGCTGCAGGAGATTGCATAGCCTACTCACGGGCTGGAATGTAAGATAGTGACTGACCTTTTCAAAGACTTCACCTGTGTGGGTAAGGTTTACTCAGGTAGAACAGGGGGAGTAGATAAAAAAGTTACCATATTTGGAGATACGGAAGCTGGTCAGTCTCTAATAGTAAGAGGTGAATGTATTTGCACTCCTTCTGAAATATTGCCCGAGAGAGTAATAATCTGTGTAATAAATGGAGAGGGAAATAGTGTTCCCCTGTGTAAGGAAAGGCTAGAAAGTCCAATCAATACTGGGGAAAGTGATAGTGGAAGTGATTCAAAAATTGGCTATTCCAGGAATACGTTTTGTTCTTGGCAATGATATAGCTGGATCACAGGTGAGAGAGATGCCCCTTCCAGTGGAGAAGCTGAAAGAAAACCAGGCAACTGAGGAGTTGAAAGGAAAATACCCTGGAATGTTTTCAGACTGTGTGGTGACAAGATCCCACAGCCATAAGTTAAAGCAAGAAGGGAAAACCAAAGGGAAAGACGAAGGAGCTAAGGTCCACTCTGTTTGATGAAATGGTAAAAGAAGAACCTAAGCAGGTAGAGGAACAGGCAGAGATATTTAGTTCTGAAAGACTAATGGAGTTAAAACAAAAAGATGAGACAATAAAAGATTTATTTCATAAAGCCTACTCAGAAAAGGAATCAGAATGTATTCCAGAGTGTTATTATCTTAAGGATAAAATCTTAAGGTGGAAATGGAGACCTTGGCAGGTTAGTGCAGGTGAGGAATGGGCAGAAGTTCACCAGATAGTGTTGCCAGTAGAATACAGACAGGAAGTATCGCGAGTAGCACGCAAATTGCCTGTAGGAGGTCATCTAGGAGGAGGAAGACTAAGATACAAAAGCATTTCTATTGGGCTGGATTACACAAAGATGTGGTTGAATTTTGCCGTACCTGTCATACATGTCAGATGGTAGGAAAGCCCCAGGCAGTAATGGAACCAGCACTTTTGATGCCTGTTCTCACATTTGAAGAACTTTTCACATGGGTTATGATTGATTGTGTAGGCCCCTCCCTAAAACCAAAAGTGGGAAACGGTATTTATTAACCATAATAGATATGCCTACCAGATTTCTGGAGGTAATTCCAATACGGAATGTCAAGGCAGAAAAGGTTGTAGAGGAGTTGCTTGCTTTCTTTACCAGTTATGGACTACCCAGGGAGATCAGTCAGACCAAGGGTCCAATTTTATAGCCAAACTATTTAAGGAGGTCATGGGTAGTTTAGGCATCAAACACTTTAAATCAAGTACGTACCATCTTGAATCCCAGGGAACGTTGGAAAGGTGGCATCAGACCCTAAAGACAATGCTGAGGGATTATTGCCAGGATTACCCAAATGATTGGGATAAAAGTATCCCATTTATTTTATTTGCTATTGGAGATGCTCCAAATGAATCGACTCAGTTTACTCCATTTGAATTGATATTCGGACTTGAAGTAAGAGGGCCTTTAAAATTAACTAAGGAAAAGTTGATAGGTCTGAAGACAGAGATCTTACAGTTAGATTATGTATCTGAGGTGATAGAAAGATTAAACAGAGTAGGTGAATTAGCTAGGTAACGTTTGAATAATGAAGCAAGAAGCAGATAAGAAATCTAAAATTCATACATTTGCCCATGGGGATAAAGTATTAGTGCTGTTACCAGTGGTAGGAGATCCCTTTAAAACAAGGTTTGGTGGTCCCTATCAGATTGAGAACAAGTTAAGTCAGGTGAATTATCTGGTAAAGGTGTCAAATAGGAAACGAATTTATTGGGTATGTCACGTGAGCATGCTGAAACATTGCTATGACAGGGAAAGGGAACTGGAGAAACTGGTATTAGTTACTACCAATCAGAATGAAGAATCAAATCCAGATGATTTGGATTTTGATGTATCTCAGAATAAATTGAATAATGAGGAAGTCTTTAAAGAATGGGATAGGGTAGTGAGCTATCTGACCTAGAAACAGAGAACTGAATTGAAAGACTCTTTACAATGCTATGAAGACATATGTAGAAATAGAATGGGGAGGACTAATACTCTAGTATATGAGGTTGACGTAGGAAATGCTTTTCCGATAAAACAACACCCTTATATGCTTAATTCTCTCAAAGCAGTGCAGGTTCAGTAGGAGGTGGAAGCAATGCCCCAAGAAGACATCATCGAGCCGAGTCAAAGTGAGTGGAGTTCGCCAATCGTGTTAGTTCCTAAACCTGATGGTACTCAACAATTCTGTGTAGATTATCGGAAGGTCAGTGCCATGACCAAATCTGACTCATAACCAATTCCAAGGGTGGAGGACTGTGTGGAAAAAGTAGGACAAGCCACTTACATCACAAAATTGGACTTACTTCACGGTTACTGGCAAGTATCTTTGACAGAAAAAGCAAAAAGAAGTTTCTGCTTTTGTCACCACAAATGGTCTACATCAATTTAAAGCAATGCCTTTTGGAATGAAAAATGCACCAGCCACTTTTCAAAGACTTATGAACAGAGTTGTGGCAGGATTAACTAATTGTGCTGTCTATATAGATGACTTGGTGATCTTTAGCCATTCATGCAAAGATCACATGGATCAGTTTGCAGAGCTTTTTGAGAGACTACAGGAGGCAAAGTTGGTCATAAACTTGGCAAAAACAGAATTCGCGAAGGCAGAAGTGATATTTTTCTTAGACTTTGTTGTGACCTAATTCAGCTAAGTGTCTCATTTAACCATTTCAGAGGGCAATTGAGAGTCAACCATAGTGTTGTAGTATATTTTCTTCCCTAAAGGCCATTCATGAATTAGATGGGCTTTTATGATGATTGACAATAGTTATTGAATTTAATTTTCACCATCTGCTATGCTGGGATTCAAACTCATCATCCTGGAAGGTTAGCCTCAGGCTCTGGATTCCAAGTTCAGTGACTTTACCAACACACCATTGCCTCCCATAAAACTTCCTGGACAAGAGGCTTACATATGTTTCAGTCCAACCAGCAGCAACCAACCACTGGACAAATGATCATTTTTGGAGCAGTTTAATCTTTTTTAAAACAAGCATAATTTGATGTATGAAGAACCTGGTTACCCTTCAGTCATGGATTCTGAGTTTTGTTGTCAGCTAGAACTAGTGTACAAAAGAATGTTGTTTTCTGAACTGCTTTCTATCATCAGGAGGTGGCCAAGAATTAGCAGCTGATACTTTCTACATGAGACAATCCTGGACCCTCAATAGGATGCAGTGTATGGTTGGCGCAGGTAAGACCCAATTTATCATCAACCAGAGATTAGATGCACTTGCAAATTCAGGTTGTTTTCCTTCTGCCAGTTAAAATTATTTCTGTTGTTAGGGTGCAATAAAACTTTAATTCTGAAGAGACTATCCCCTAAACTAACAACCTACAATGAACTTGGCAGTAAATACACTCGGATACACCCAAGCAGCACTGACATCTGCTAATGTTACTTAAATAGAGGGAGCTTTCCTTGACTCCATGCATTTTGGCAGGACTAACAAGGGAGGTGCAAAGTGGTCACATTCCAGCATTTATGCTTTATGTACGTACAATATATATTGATGACTTGGATGAAGGGATCATGTACATCGTAGCCAAATTTGCTGATAATATAAAGACCCATCTCTCTCTCTCTCTCCACCTCCCCCCACTTCTCCCTGTGTCCTTCTCTCTCTCTCTCCCCTCCATCTTTCTCTCTCTCCCTGTCTGTCTCTTTCTCTCCTTGCATCTCTCTCTTCTCCCACCCCGCCCCCCAATCTCTCTCACTTGCACCCTGGTCTTACACCCTCCCACCATCTCGCTTTTTTTCTTTATCTGTCTCTTTTTTTGTCTCTCATGCAATGTCTTAATCTAGGGACAGTTTGCTTTTGAGAAAAAAAACATTCAAAGGCTCAAAGGATACAACAGAAGGAGACAGTTTTAAAAGGGTTCACATACATGGACACTAAACAAAACAGCCCTCATGTCAATCAAGTCCGGTGCAGGTTCATAAATACTGCGTGAACAATCTTCCAAATTTTGGTCAAGCAGGTCTCAGGTCTGGGTATCCCGTGACTGTGCAAACCTCTTCAGTCCCTCCTGCAACAGTTTCATGGTCATGCCATGCTGAACCAGGATAGAGAGCACACCTGGGAAACAGGGAGATAACATTGTCAGATGGAGAGGCAGAGCAGCAGAGGGCAAGAAGAGTGGCTGGAGAGGGAAAGATAGAATGGCGTGAACAAAGAGAGAGAGGATGTGGAGAGAAACAGAGGATATGAAGAGAGAGGGGTGGGTGTGAAGAGTGAAGGGGGGCACGAGGAGAGCGTTGCAAAAGGAGGGTGAAGTGACAAAGAGAGAGAGTGAGAGAAGACATCCTAGAATATTTAAGGAAGTGGCTGCAGAAATATTAGATACATTTGTATAAATTTTCTAGGAATCTTAAGATTCTGGAGAAGTCCCAGAGGATTGGAAAACTCCCAATGTAACAACTTTATTTAATGAGGGGAAGGAGACAAAATAAAACAGGTAACTATAGGCCAGTCAGTTCAACATCTGTTATTGGTATGTAAGAGGATGAGGGGTGACCTTATAGAGGTTTATAAAATCATGAGGGACATAGATAAGGTGAATAACAGAGGTCTTTTACCTAGGGTTGGGGAGTTCAAAACTGGAGGGAATAATTTTAAGGTGAGAGGAGAAAGATTTAAAAGGGATCTGAGGGGCAGCATTTTCACACAAAGGGTGATTTGTAAGTGGAATGAGCTGCCAGGGGAAGTGGTAGATGCAGGTACAGTTACAATGTAGAACAGTACAGCACAAGAACGGGTCCTTCACTCAGGACATTGTGCCAAACATGATACCAAATTAAAATAATCTTTTTTGCCTGCCCTGGCCCTTATCCCTGTATTCCTAGCATATTCATGTGCTTATCTGAACGTCCCTTAAACACCCCCATCTTATCTGCTTCTACCACCACCCCGGCAGTGTGCTTCAGACTCCTTCCACTGTGTGTTTAAAAAAACTTGCCCCTCACATCTCCTTTGAACTTTCCCCCTCTCGCCTTAAATGCATACCCCCTAGTATTTAAAAGACATTTTGACAGGTACATGAATAGGAAAGGTTTAGAGGGATATGAGACAAATGCAAGCAGAGGGGACTCGTTTCAGTTTGGGAAAATTGGTTGGCATGGACGAGTTGGACCGAAAGGTCTGTTTCTATGCTGAATGATTCTATGACTCTGTATACCCAAAGAATGTGCAAAATGATACAGATAGGCTAAGTGAGTGTGGCGAAACATAGCTGATAAAGTATGGGAAAATGTGAAGCTATTCACTTTGGTCTGAAGAAAAGAAGAGCAGAATATTGCATAAATGGTTAGAGACTGCCTAATGCTGCAGTATAGTGAGATCTGGACGTCTGCATGCATGAATCACAAAATATTAGCATGAAGGTATAGCAAGAAATTAGGAAGGCAAACGGAATATTGACCTTTACGTGAGGGGATGGAGTATAAAAGTAGGGAAGACTTGATGAGACTGCCGCTAGAGTATTTTGTACAGTTTCAGTTTCCCTATTTAAGGAGGGATATATTTGAATTGGGAGCAGTTCGATGAATGTTCCCTGATTCCTGGATGAAGGAGTCTCCTTATGAGAAAGTCTGGGCTGGTTGGGCTCACATCCATTCGAGTTTAGAAGAATGCGAGATGACCTTATTGAAATGTATAAAGTTCTGAGTAGAAAAATTGTAATTTGACATGTGGTTGATGAGAGATCTTTTTAAAAAAAAAGCTCTCTTTCTTCCTGCTGAGAGTTGTTGGTAGACAGATGTCCTTCTGTACTATTTGTTAATATGACTCATGCAACATTTAGAGCAGTGATTTATCTAGATCAGAGGCAGAAATCTCTATAGAATTATGAATATAAATGGCTTCTGTGCAAATAATACTCAGGGGACATTCTAAAACTGGCAGAACAGTAATAATATGACTCGGGTAACTTTCAGAGCAGTGCTTTATCTAGATTAGAGGCAGAAATCCCAATAGAGTGATAAATATAATGGGCCTCTAAACAAGTAGTTCTCTGTGTGTATTCTAAAATAGTAGAACAGTAGCAATAAAAAGAATTCTACCCCTCATCAGAATGTTCTGATTTGGTATAAGGATTGCACTGGGGATTTCGTATAGTAAAATTACATTTTACATAAAGTTATGTGAATAAAAATGTGTCATATATGATCTGACCTCAGTTTTAATTGATGCCACTTAATTTTCCATTTAAAATATTTGGATAAATTGTTTCATTGATTTGTGCCTTCTGTGAAGATACAGATGATTTCAAAAAGTTTCCTAGCTCAATGTTTCGGATTGAAATTAGTTCCCGGTGGCTATTGAAGATCCTTAATTTCAAATCAAGTCATGGAGCCAAAGAGTAATAGAAGTTTTACATCATGGAACAGGTTATATAAAACATTGTGTCTACACCAGTTGTCAAGTATCCATCTATTCTATTTTAATCCTGTTTTTAGCACTTGTCCCATAGTCTTGTAAGGTATGGTTTTTCAAGTGTTCATCTAAATAGTTCTTGAATGCCTTGAGGGTTCTCGTCTTTGCCAACTTTTTCAGGCGGTGAGTTTCAGATGGCCACAGCCCTCTGCATGAAAAGGTTTTTCCTCAAATCTCCTCTAAACCTCCTGCTCCTTACCTTTAAACTGTGCCATCTGGTTATTGAACCCCCTACTAAGTGGAAATTTTCTCCCTCTCTATCTTGTCTGCACCCCTCAGAACTTTGTACACCTCAATTCGATACCCATCAGCCTTTTTCTACTCTAAGGAAAATAATGCCGACTTATACAAGTCTCTTTTCATAGCTGAATTGCTCCAGCTCAGGCAACATAGTGGTGAATCTCTTCTGCACTCTCTCTAGCACAATCACATCCTTCCTATAGTGAGCGATCATCTTTAAAATGTTGTCAGGCCTCATTCAAAGAATAGCATGAACATAGAAAACCTTATTGATTAGATCAATTTAGAAGCATGAGAGAATTTTTGATTCTTGATGTTATGAGTTATTTTGCTCAAATCTATATGGAGGATTATATTGGTGACCTGAAAACAACCAGCATATGTAATTGAGTTAACATGTAGCACATAATCTTTGGTATTATATTTCTTTTGAATTTATATGCTGGCTTTTCATTTTATGATGCATGAGACTTTCTAAGAGATCAATATATCTGCATAACAGCATGATCCAGAAGTGGTTAAACCTTTTTGTCAACTATATGCTGTGGCCATTAAATCCCTGATTTTATATTAATTGAAGAATATCCCTACAATGTGTTTGGAATATTTGTAAAGTTCAAATGATGAGAGCCAATATAAAATGTTGTCATACTCCCAGCAGATATTATTACTGGACAAGTCAAATCCCAGACTGAAACTGACTTGACAGATCATATTTTGTTCTTTTGTTTTGGTTTAACAATAAAACAGAAGTTTATTACTCACAAAAGAAATGAAGAGAAAATGGAATAACCAAACTTAACTCCTTTAGACACAGAGAAAATGAGTTCAAATTCAAAAATGTAAGCTTAAAAATAAATGGTACGGTGGCTCAGCACTGCTGCCTCACAGCGTCAGGGACTCTGGTTCAATTTCACCCTCAGGCGACCATCTCTATGGAGTTTTCACATTCTCTCTGTGTCTGCTTAAGTCCCCTCTGGGTACTCTGGTTTTCTACCACAGTGCAAAGATGTGCAGGTTAGGTGGTTTGGCCCTGCTAAATTGCCCATAGTGTCCAAGGATGTGCAGGCTCGGTGGATTAGCCTATGGGGATAGAGTGGAGGGGGGTGGAACTGAACAGGATGCTATCTGGAGAGCTGGTGTGGACTTGATGGGCGGAATGGCTTGTTTCCCCACTGTAGGGATTCTATACATAAATCAGAGATAGTGGAAACTGCCTATGCTGGAGAATCTGAGATAACAAGGTGTAGAGCTGGATGAACACAGCAGGCCAAGCAGCATCAGAGGAGCAGGAAAGCTGACGTTTCAGGTCTGGACCCTCCT